TTGGCGATGTTGCAGATTTGCAATTATGTGCATTTGTTTTTCAGTTCCAAGAGAGTCCTGTAGCCTCAGAGCATGAGGTTTGTTTGCCAGCTCCCTTCTTTAAGAGTGAATTGTTACACATTACACAGTGCTGCAAAGCTCAGAGAAGGCAGAGGATGAGTTGATATTGCTGCAAACCTAATAAAGCGCTTCTGTTTTCTTGGAGGACATAGCACAGGAGGCACATGTCTAGTGTTACTGTGTTTTAGCCACATAATCATAGTGCACCTGCATTTGTGTTCACAGAGCTTTGAAAATTGCTACAGAGGTGCATTTATAGACATGGCGATTGACTTTGTTCTGCCAGATGTGACAGATTAATTGCTCTTTATCTTCTCCCCTAGCTCCTTTATGTTTTTTCATGGTTTGCTGCAAGTATCACTTGAGTTTGTTTTTCATTCTGTTAATGTGTTAAAGAGACAAAAAGCTGCATTTTTTTTAAACAGATCATCAAGCTAGAATATCCATAACTGTTTAATCGTAGGCTTTTCTCATCAGAAGCATGCTAGTATGGTCACAAATGCTAGTCTTTCCACAGTGCGATCTAGTGAATGTTTAAAAAAAAAAAAAAGTGCTTCTTGGAGGAAAAGAATCCTTGGCATATGGCCTATGTGGTGCCATAACTAGTAAACAAGCTTGAGGATGCTAACAGAGCAGCATAGCCAAACAAGCAACTGTCACTGTGCTACAGCAGCAACCCTAAGCATGGTGCTCTTACTGTGGCCGTATGAATGACACACTCCTCATTTCGCTGCTTATCTCCATGGAAGTGCCATAAAACATCTTAGCTCCCTGAGGAGGACTGACCTATAATTAGCCTAATTGGCCGCTGGATGTCAGTATCTTGCCACAGATATAAAACCGCAAGCCCAGATTTTCAGGTTGAGGAAGTGGTTACTCAAGTCGATTTGTGTTTTTTCTCCCTAGTATTTGCTTGAGGCGTAACATACCCACTGTTTATAACAAAAACAACAACAAGCTTACAAGCTCTGGTCTTGCAAAACCAGAGCTTGAGACATTAACCATGTAGCATATGAGTGCCCCCCCCCCCCAAAAAAAAACTTTTGAACTCTATCTTGGAGTCCTATTAAAATATTCTGCTGAGGAGATTAGAAATCTAGTGTTGACTATGCATACAGTAAATTTGCTGGCATCAATGGCAACTTGCATTAACTGCCCCTTTAACAGACTCAAGTGTTTTGCAATAACTTTTCTCAGATAGCATGGTTTTACCTGTAGCTCTTGCAAGTCAGTGCACATGAGAGAGAGAAAAATCTCTCTTGCCTCATGTCACATCTCACGAAAAAAAAAAAAAAAAAAAAAGCCCACCTAAATACCTAAGATTCTTCGGAAACGTGCTGTTTTTAGCCTGTCTGTGTACCTACAACCTGTTACAAGTGTGCCTAATAAATCTAGACCTTTGCAGGACTCACAAAAAGCACTGTTTTAATTTCTGAAATCACATGGTGCAGCATAGCCAAAACTGTCACGGGTGTAGCACACAAATTCTGGGGAACTTCCTGCTGTCCGTAAAAACTCAGGTGCTAAAGAAAATTAAATGGAGTGTTTTGGCTTGGTCTTCCAAATTTAGCAGGCTAATGGTGTTGATTTCAATTTGGGTTTAAATATTCCCTTGTAATGCTGAACGTTTGCTTTCACTGGAACCCACCTGAGCTCAGCTTGCAAAGATACAACACTGGTCTTGTATATTTTTTCCCCCTTAGAACTAGTTACTGCAGAAGCTGGACACCAACCAAATTACCTAATATTCTGGGCTCAGCAGTAGACAAATTAGACCTTAGATTATGATTTTGGGGAAAAAATTATAGCAGGCAGTACATTCCTTCCTACAAGCGCTCTGAAAAACATCATTCAGAAATAACTGTCGCTGGCTATTTTCTATATGAAATGCATACTAAAAATATGCATGAGCAAACAGGATGTTCAGCACTGAGATTTGCTTGTAATTTTCAACATGTGATTAAGCTAAAATGTGTTTATTGTTAGAAATGTAGTGGAAAGCTACACAAATCAGCTAATTAAAGATATTGGTGGATTGGGGGCTTTTTTGTTTGTGCTATTCTTTGCCTTCACATCATTCCCATACAGCTCACAGCTGGCAGAGGAGCCAGACTGGAAAAGCAATCTTTTTCCTGTAATAGGAGATGTTCCAGCTCTTTCCCAGGCTGGGTGCATTTGATTTTCTTACACCTAAGATCACAGTTTTCATTTTAACTTTTTTTTGTGTGTGTCCCTTCAGTGCTGTTACCAAACAGCCTGAGCTCCTAACTTACTCTTTTTAACTGTGTTACAAAATAAACAATACCAGTCATTCATTTGTAGAGAGCACCATGGAAATGCCATGCAGCCCTCTGTTAAGGATAACAGTGGCAGCCATGGCTCTCCTATCAGTGGGAAGCTGGAAGGCATCTTCTTTAGCTGCAACACTGAGTTTAACACTGGGAAGCCACCACAAGATTCACCATATGGAAGATACAGGTTTGAGATTGCAGCTGAAAAACTCTTCAACCCAAATACTAACTTGTACTTTGGAGACTTCTACTGCATGTACACAGCCTACCACTACGTCATTCTCGTCATCGCCCCGCTTGGATCGCCGGGAGACGAATTCTGCAAGCAGCGCCTTCCTCAGCTAAATATAAAAGATAATAAATTTCTGACCTGCAATGAAGAAGACGGTGTAATGGTCTACCATCACGCCCAAGATGTTATTTTGGAAGTAATCTACACTGATCCCCTGGATCTCTCTCTTGGCACAGTTGCAGAAATCACCGGTCACCAACTAATGAGCTTGTCTACTGCAAATGCAAAGAAAGATCCTAGCTGCAAGACCTGCAATATCAGTGTTGGACGCTAAAGCCTCCCTCATTACTTAGGAGTCTTCAGACCTCCGCTGTCCATTTCCATTGTCAGCCGTTCTCCTCAGAAGCATGCACATGCCGCTGTCACCAAAAGCAAACATGAGTTCAAACTCTTCAGTAGCGTTTTTAGTATTTCTTCTCTCCCTCCTTCCCTTCTGTTCCCCCAATGCTTTAAATGATTAGAAGTCCTGGATTTCTTTCTGGCAACCATTTATACCTAGATGCTGCAAAAAATGTTTTCTGTTTCTTGCCAAACATAACAAAAATCCTATATAAACTGCTTTAGCAAAATAAAAATAATGGCTTATAAACGGTGTTTAAATATGCATTCATTTTAACTACTGAACAAATACTGGGATAACTCCAAACAGCATGAAAGGTTGTAATTGCAGCATGATTTAAATCTCAAAGCCTAGAAATGTCAGCACTTCCAACGTGTTGTTTGACAGTGTTATTTATGTTATTTATATTAGCTAACTGAAAACAGAAACTGTGTCTCGACATAATAAATATAATAGAAAAATATTTTATTTGTACTGTTGTATAAAATATTATACAATCATATAGAATATATAGATTACATTTTAATATCAATTGTATACATGTCATGAAAGCATTTTCCCTTATCAAAGATGTAGTTTGTAAACTTCAAATAGCTCTGTATCTGTTCCTGTTGCTCTAGATGACTTTAATTAAAACAGATTTACGAAGGAGACCATTCTGATTCATAAAAGCTAAGTTATAAATTATTAAGTCAGTACACTGAAACAACAAATCTCAGAGAAATAAAATATTCTTTTTCTAGTGGTCATACTTTTTCTCCAAATTACTTGAAAATGTGTATTTTTTCCAAAACATGCTGAATCAAGACATACAATATAAATACAAACTTGATTCATTTGTAATAGGCTTTATAAAATGAAAATTTTCATATCAATATAGAAAACAGATTGTTTACACTATGTAATCAATACAAAATGACAGTTAAAGCAAAAGACTAAACATGACTCGACTTACTCCATGTCTGGGCTAGGTATTTCCCAGAATCCCTGCTTCTGATTTCCGATACAGAAATGCCAACAGTCCTTCTGTTTATAGATTGCTTTTCACACAAATACTGTAGCACGAACAGTGGGGGGGGGGAAAACCTCCATAATATTACAAAGTGTAGTGCTCTGAAGTTTAAGAAAGATGCATAATTTCAATGGAAAAATATCTTTTTTATAATCATATTTTTTGTAAACAAGAAGTCTAGCGTTCCTCACCAAATAACTATGACACTCAATTATATACCGTGTACTTTATCTATCCAAAATATCTTAG